CCCCCCGCCCCTGCCGCATCGCCGTGACAGCAGCGCGAGGAGGAAGCTAGGCCATCGTCGCCGAGAGAGTGCGCGACAGTGTGCCGAAAAAGAGGGTGGTGTCGCCTGTACGACGACGAGTATACGAAGGTGGGCCCCCTCTCTGTGAAGAAGGTGCTCTCGTGCAACGAACACGGTGCGGATAGGACACTCGTTACCTCTACGCGCGTACACAGGAAGGTAAAAGGCCATCCGTGAAAAGTAGTGTCGTCTGGGGTCTCGCGCTGCTTGTCGCCATCTCTTCCCACACTCCTGCCCTCCACGTTCACCTTCCTTCCTTCCTTCCTTCGGTCTTGTTACACTCTTAACTTTTCGTCATCCCCGACTATCGGTCGAACGTCGTTAGCATAACGTGAAGTAGAAAACGTGAAAACGGTGCGAAGAGAGTGACAGAGAAGATAAAAAGAGAGCGAGAGAGAGAAAAGAAAGTGCGCGCGCGAGCGCGCACTCTCGTGCGATGTGATAATCGCGTGTGCGACTGTTATTGATGTGCGAGGTAGTGTTGACGACGAGGGAAACGACATCAACGGCGAGTACCGGGGCTAACTTCAGGCGGTGGCGGAGGAGGAGGAGGAGAATCGCCGGAGAGATACCGGCCAACCTAACCTAGTAGACGCAGCAGGAGTAGCGGGTGAGAAAGAGGCAGCGGGGACGCAACCTTTTCAAGTCGCGGTGTAGGTGTGGAGGCGGAGGTGGAGGCGGTCGAGAAGGCTTCAGGATGAGCGGACGACCGAGAACCACCTCCTTCGCCGAGGGTAACAAGCAGCCCGCGAATCCGCCCCTCGGCGGTATGAAGATTAGTAGTAAGTACCATAACCTCCTCACGTCTGCTACTATTTCTTTCTTTTCTCTCTTCTCCCCTGCATGGTTTTCGTGGTAAACTCTGTTCTTTCCGTTGTATCGCCTTCACTTTCATTTAGTTTTACGCACACGCTCCTATCGAGTACCGTTCGAATGTTATAAATTGCGATTGAAAAAGATCGACGCTTCGCTTCTTCGACCGCTGGATTTTGTTCATTTTTTTACTTATCCCTTTTTCTCTTCTTGTGACAATTGCGTACATATCTATTTTGGTTTTAGGCACGAAAAGTGTAAGAAAGTGCAAAGTGTGAAATGGTGAATAAGTGCAGTTAATTTGACGGGGGTGTAGAGAGTGTAAGAAGGTGCGGTTGAAAGGAGCAGACTCATCGTCCATCTTTGTCTCCCTTTCATTTTCTGATTCGTTCTTTCTGCGATATTTCTTTTCTTTCACTTCTCTCTTCATTGTATAATTTTCGATATAAAATTGATTTTGAAATTGTATTACTTTTATTTTCACCCGGTTTTAATTTAAATATGCACAAGCTTAATGATTGTTCTTTAAATGTAATAAAGTATAACTATAAAAGAGGATGAGTAATCTACTCCTTTGAATTCTGACTTTGTTCATCTCAAATTTATTCTTTACACATATTTTTTTCTTTTTACTATGATTACATATACATTTATCTTTTAAATGCAAAAAGCGTAAAGCTTATATCAGAGAATTGATTTAATATCTTGAAACAAGATGAAAATTAAAAGTAATTTATTAGATGATGTTGGCCAATGAAATTATAAATATTGTAGTAAATTTGCTCACTTTTATCATTTTCAACTCATTTCAACATACATAGTCGATCCCCAAATTAGGCATTGAAAACTAAAAATTACGAACTGATGATAAAAATTCTACCAATCAGACAAATTTAATTTTATTCTGTTTTATCCTGATTGATTAAATTTTAATTTTTAATATAATTTTCAATGTGTAATCTAATATGGGTTTAAGAAAGTGTGAAATAGCGCGAATAATTGGATAAAGTATACAGAATATAAGAAAGTGCAGTTAAGAGGAACAAATCGTCCATCTTTGTCTCTCTTTTATTTTCTCGTTCATTCCCCGTTATTTCTGATCTTTCATTTCTTCCTGTTTTTTTCTCTTCTTCCTTTCTCTTTTTCCCTCTCTTCCTTCTTTCTGCTCTTCTTTTCTTTCTTATCGGTTCATCTGTGGGATGCAGAGTTACGCGTATGCGTGCATGCATCCGGATGCTCTCGAGGGAGTGAAGAGGTGTCAGAAGAGAAGGTGGGTGGAAAAATAGAAGCAATTGCCTTTTTCATGCTTAACCCTAAGATTCCTCTCTCACGATTGTCGATCTTGGCCGATTTGCGTTGCATGCTTTCTGGTAACCTCGATAGGAATGTCGTGAGATTCTATGAGGGTGGAGTCGATCTTGCACCCGTCCGCATTTCCCCTTTATTCACCTAACTTCTACGCCCTTGCGACAAAGCAGATTGAGTGACGAAATGCAACATAAATTGTCCAAAATTATAAAGAACTTTGGTTATCTTTTTGTATGCTATAATAGTATAGAATTTTCTCTTAAAATAATTTAAGCCTTTTTCATACTTCACATTATACTTCAAAAGAATATAGAATCTTAATAGTGCTTTAAAATAAAACAATAATTGCATATATAGTAGGTAATATATTTTTATTTTGTCATTAATCACAATATTTTAATTCTAAAATGTATTTTGCATTAACAAATTTAGAGGAGAGGATAATTAATATTCGATGATTTTCTCTCTTTAGCTACTTTACAATATCATATACATTTTAAACACTGAATAAATGAATAATTTAAGTGTGAACAGTTAAATTGAATTTAAAATTAGTAAAATGGCGACATGTACATATATAGTATAAAAATGCGAACGTATAAAAAGATTTTACAAAATATTTTTGTAAGAACAATCTGGCAATTTTTAATAAGTGCATCGTACCTTCGAGGACACATTGGATGAACAGCAGTATTTTAATATGTGATTGCATATTCGGCTGCTATAAATTATCACGTTTATTTGTCCTTTGTTAATCCATTTAATATAATCTGATGGATTTGACAACTCATTGCCTCATGAAAGTTACATTAAAATATTGTATTAACTAAGTTTTTAATAAAATTATGAAACAGTGTTGTGAAATCGACCTTCGACTTTTTTATTGAATGGTAAAATGCTCCAAACTACAAAAGAGCGTGTTGGCAGCACCTAAAAATGTATTAACAACACATTGGAAAGACAATTATTTTGTGGTTTATTTTTTTGTTAATTTATTTATTGTACGCTTATGATTAATGTAGGTTTAACAGTTAATTATCTTATAAAGATTTAGACGATTTTTCTGTTTATAAAGATTTTAAATTATCTATTAACCAAAAAAGTTAAGGAAATTCCTATTAATATAAGCAATTTAATGATATAACAAATTTTTATGTAGCACGTGATAAAACATAAGTAATATAAGAACACAAAAAAGTTTTATTGCAAGAAATTCTGGTGAATAATATTATAATTAATACCGGGAAAAATATTATTGTAATTTTATTTTGCAACTGATTAAATCATATGTGCACTTATTTGCGCGATGATTATTTTCATCGCTTGCGATCATAATCATGTCGACGCAATTCAATGACCATGACAGCGTTATATACGCGCGCGAAAATCTTATTATATATGCACGACATTTTTGGCGAGCGTTTGATTTACGTATGTATTAACGCACATTGATCTACTGCATTACAAGCAATATATATTTTCAATTACAAGAAATAAAAGGCGGTTATGCGAGCTAATACGATTATAAGATCATAACTCTGTTAAAGAACTTTTCAATATTAATAATATCTTTAAAAAACTGTTATATATATACATATTATGCGTAACATTCACATTTATATTGTTACTGATTTAGGATATTAAAGAATTAAGGTTAAAAAATAATGAAAAAAGAGAAAATATAGAAATAACATAAAATATTAAAATAATAAAAATAGTTTATACGTGTTTATTAAAGTAAACCAATTAATATCAACTTGAACTTTCTTTGATGAATAATAAAGTATAATAACAAGTGAACAAACAAGTAAATGTGAGGTGAATAGTATGCAAGGGATGATAATGTGATCATTATTTGGATAAGACAACATTTTGATTGATAATACTTAAGTTTATTCGTAACATTGAAAGTTTAATGATTCATGTCTGCGAAAACAAGTTCAACTTCATTATTTGATTGCTATAGATAACCTAGAAGCCTAATTGCACCTGTGTTTAATAAACATTTCTCCGTGTTGCATACTTGTTCATTGGCAAGGCAATTTATATAACGGCACAGGATAAATCACGTATCTCGCCATGCAATCCACATGCGCCGGACTGTGCAAGATAAACCGTTACCGCCTTGAACTTGCATAACGCTTGCATAATTTTTAATCGATATACCGAACTATATATGGAGTTAAATTATGCAGTTCGACAGAATAAAGCTAACAGCTTTAGCATAACTTTCGTATTTTATTTATAAACATCAAAAGTTACGGTCATAATCGTAATATTTTCATAATTTTGTAAAAGAAACATAATCTGAGTTTTTTTAAATTTTCTATAAATTGAATATAAAAGTGTATATTTTTCTTTTTTTAATAATTTTGTATAAAAGTATTTTAAATCTCTCACACACACATTTTATTAAATAAAGTAATTATACATTATGTTGAATAAATATTATTCAGCCTTTATGTGTTTTAGTAGGACGAGAATTTCTTTATTATTCTAATAATTATGAATGACTTTTAATATCATCTTATTCTTTGTGCTTTAACGTATTTTATGCAAGAAGTAATGTATCATTACACATTTAAGACGCTAGTGAGTGGCTTACGTCTACGTCTCCCCAAGGACGTAATATAATTTACCATTCCGATGGATTATCTGTAAGATACTGCTGGCCGACATCGAATGGCCGGTAGTGGATGATAGTAGGCGTAAATATGCGACAATAATGATTCAGACTTCTACTTTGACTTTCGTAAACGCGGCTCATGCTTGAATGATAATCTATTATGTCTTATCTAACAAAAATACTCAATTCTCAGATGTTCGATGATCGATCATAAGCTCTACTTCCAATACATATATAATTATAGAAATTGATTGACATATCTAAACTAAACGAAAACTCTATATAATACATATCTTAGCAATTGTTATTTTAATTTTATAAATTTACATATAGAACAAAATAATACTTCCTGAAAAGAATTTCAATTTTTAAATGGGATATAAGATATTCTGATGTTTTTATAATCGATTTCTATGATAATATCTGTGATAATAAAATGAGCAAAGATAAAGAGAAAATTACCGGATAAAACATATTTCGCTCACTTGGTGAAGATCAAAGATCGAGTTTCTATAACGATAATGTTAAATTAAGATAACTTTCAGAGCTTTCGTGTTGTCAGCGATGAGAGCGTGCTCCTGTCAAAAATAGTGACACAAGTAATGCAATCGCATCGCTATCTTTGGCGCACGCGACCTGCGTACGTCCATAACCTTCCGATGCAATTAAAAATACGATTTGATCGTACAATAAGAGTTCCTGTATCAGATAAGATATTTTAAAATAACATTAGTAGGGCTAATATTTGCAGAAACTAATTTAAATAATGGCGATATGTTTAAAAATGATTTTTTAGCTATTTTTTATTATTTTTAATAATAAAATTTGTGATTTGTTTTTATACTCAATGTAATGTCACAAACAAGAATATTATCACAGAGTTGAAAAAAGATTTATATATATATATTTTTACTATTAATTTATTATTAAAAATTACAGATATCTCGATAGTATTAAATGACAGCTTTACGATTGGAAAACCTATTAAAAAATAACATCGTCGGAATAGGAGATATCTTGCATATATTTGCGTTA